TTTTGGCAAACAGATAATTAGGGAGAAAATATTTTATCTATAAATATTTAATATTACCTATTTTATCTTTTTCTTTTCTGTCACACTAGTATCTAATAATATGAGATAACATTCAGGTTGATGGGAATAAATTTTTAAAAACCCCTTGTAGTAAACTTAATGCGTTGTTTGCCATTCTTAAACACAGTACCGCACACGCCTGCAAACCTCTGCCATACTGTTAGAATGGTATCTGAAAACTAAGAGCCTCTGTAGTTATATATTGTTTAATTGATCCATGATCTGTCACATTTCATTATCAGACATATCCACTGTCAGGTGGTTGCTGTGTAGTTCATTCACTCTGTATCTCAAGGGATCTCAAATGCTTTGGTTGCTGTAAAAGGTGCTTTTTGTCCTGCTCGCCCAAGCACATGCTGCATGGCAGGTAACGAATCGCAACCTAATGAGCCTTGGTAACTGAGCTTTCCTGGGGAGCCAGTCGCTGGTTCAGTGACCTGTATTACCCAGTATCTCGTTTGGCAGAGAATTAAGAATGGAGCAGACGCATCATCAGCAGATTTTCCTGAGTGCAGACTCATTTTGGTACAAGCTGTCAAAGTCCAAGGACCCTCCAATCTAGCTTTCTAAACCTCATCTGTCAGGGAAGTATAATTGGTTTATAAATTGGCTTAAAGATAATAACGGAACTAACCTTTTTACACGAAAAGCATGTCTGCAACTATGATAAACTTCACCAAAGCTTAAAAATAATTGTCCTGAACAATATGAGAGTAAAACATCCTAGTGGGTGATTGGTGGTGGGAGGTTAGTGCAGGCTGGTGTTGCAAAACAGTCAGCCATTGCAGTAACTCACATAATTGATGTTAGTGCCACTTCTGTGGAAGTTGTTTTGTTGTGGCTTTTAGTTGTTTTTTTACTGCTTTTTCTTGCTACGAGAATGCTAATATGGTGTTTGATTTCTGCTGCATCAGCTTGCGGCGAGTGACAGAGCTCTCCACTGGACCATCGTTAATCCAAAAAACTGAAGTGCCTGAACATCAAGTAACCTTCATGAATTAAGGATTCTTTGTACAAAATATTGTTCATTTGACATTGTTTAGTTAGTGGTTTTTCTTTGCATCTGCAAATGCTGTCCTGTTGGGCAGACTGTTCCTTGGCTGCCTGCAGAGAGGCTTCTTCATGATCTGCTAAAGCTATCCATACATAGATATGCACACAGACACCTGAACAGAATATAGGTATCTCTGTGTTTTAACACAGGGATTGACATATCCTCACTGCAAGTCCTTCTGGCACATCCAGATTGTTGAATTGCGTATCATGTGAGAACAAAAAAATTCTGTTCATGGCTTTCCTAGCCAAGTTAGCAGTGATATTTAATTTTTCCTGCCTTCTCTGCTTTTTGCAATTATTGTGAGTTCAGTATGTACGTAGGAAAATTAGATTAGCAGAATTTGAGGACTTTTGCTCTTCAAGTATACTTACTAGTTAACTTAAATGTCAGTTGAGTGCAGGCATGCCAGCCAGTCCCAGAGACAGCCGGGTTTGCGTAGGTCATTGTATTATAAAGATTCAGTTGCCAGACAAACCTAATCTAATTTTAGCTTTAAAATAAATTTGAAGAGTTGTATATTTCTGTTTACTGTATATTAAACATATGCAACATATGAATATACTTTATGTATGAAATGGTTTAAGAGATCTTTCCTGGATTAGGATGGCTTCCTTTCTTCAGTAGATAGCGTTCTGTACTTTTAAGTAATTGCCTTATTACTGTAAAGTAGTTCTTTCTCTTAAGAAAGTTAATGTTTTTAAGATTATAAGGATACTAGGAAATGTTTGAAGATTTGCATTTAGATCCTTTTTCTTTGTCAAATTGCCTGTTTAAAAAAATGGGGGGAAAACTGTTTGTATCTTATTATTAAAGTTTATTCCTAGCACGATGGGAATCGGCTTACATCAAACAAGGCGAGGATATCACCATTTTTTTAAGTGAAGACCAGTAAGGTCACTCAGCTTAGTTCACTGGCTCTAGTCAGCTCAAAAATATCCTCATATTTTGTCTTGGCACACTAGTAACAGCCTGTGTATGTGTGACTCTATAATGCAATGTGTGTAGGTTAAGTGGTTTGGAGGGGCGGTGGCCTAATAATGCAAAATACCACCAGACTGTAGTCATAGTAGAATAAAATGTGAAGCCAGACAATAGAATAGAAAATGCAATCTATTTATAAACACTTTTTAAAAAAGCAAGACTATTTGAACAACTATTTACTTGTAAAACAAGATTTGTACTATTTAGTGGGGTGCCTCCAGCTGTAGCTTAATTTCCCTGCAGCCAGAGCTGTCCCGGTGCTATCTGCAGCTTCTGCAGTGTGCTTGAAAGAGCTGGAGCTGAAGTGCTTCCCATTTCTAGCAAAACTGATGGCACTGGCTAGATGATAAAGGAGTGGTCCAGAGTCGTTTTGCTGGGCTCTGTCCGAAGCGCTGCCCTTGTTCCAAGAGACAGCCCAAAGTTGCAGATTTTCCATCCAGCCTCATTTATTTCACAGTGGAGCTTTTTGTTGTCCTCCGTCGCTAATGAAATAGATAAGATGAATAAAAACCCGAAACAGATGGAGAACGCAGAGCTCTGGGTGGGGAGAGGGGAAATAGTCATGCTTTTTCTCAATGAGAGAAAAAGAAAAAAGTAGAGGCAAGGGAAGAAGGAGCTCTAATGGATTTGCTCAGTTCCCAGAAGTACTCGGGATTTACAACCACAGCAGATCTTGTCAGTTAGGGCAGTAGTGTCATTCATTTGCTGCATTAAACTTCTACAGACAAATGGATTTGTGGTTTTGGTGTGTTTATTTCTGATCAGTTTAATCTTTGTATCTCTTGTTAGTTGTATCTCTTCCTTACTTTGATAAAGGTTGCTCTATCTCTTCAAGTGGAGCCTGTAGGTTTGGACTGAGACAAATAGTACCTGCACAGGTGTAGAGGCAAGCTGTACTGCAAGCAACAGGCACCTCATTTTAAGTTGCTTCAGAGCATCTGGGATATGGTTGTGTTTTGTTTAACAGCAACAGAGTTCTGACCTTCATTTATATCAAGAGAGTATGAGGCTTCAAATAGTTGACCAGGGTCAGACGTTACACATGGCTTTGCAGTCATGGGGATCAAAATAGACTTGTAGTAATACTCAGCTAAGAAATCATGGGAGAGATCTCAAGAGAACATCTAGTGTCCCCAGAAAGAATACTGAAGACTTTTAGAGCAGTTAGAGTTGACTGCAAAGTGCAGAAGCTGAACTGGGAGTTGCACACAGAAATTCTGTATTCCCACAACTACAAAATAAACAGGAAAGCAACTGTGATTCATTAATACTTCCGGTTTGATATCTGTAATATTGATGCAATAGATCGTAGTGATTTCAATTTACCATGCAATAGACTGGAGCCTATTGTGAGACAAGTGTGAAACATAGATGAATCTAGAGAAAAGAAAATTGCAATACAGTCAGTGTTCAAAAAGGTAAATTCTTATAAAACATAATTATGTGTCACATTATGCACATGTCAAAGAACAACTGGTTATAGTTGTATTAATTCTTACTGAAGGAAAAATCTAAATTCCTTTTTAAAGGAGGGAAAAATTTTGAAGAGGAAGTCTGAGCACATTTTGTGGGTGAGCACCACCTGCTTGGGCACTGCCGGCTTTTGTGAGGAAACAGCAACAGAGTTTGTCCAGCGTATTGTGCTGCACACCTCTGTCTTGTGCTCTTGCTTGGGCAAGGAAGGTGCCTGTTCAGCTGCATGCATGCAACAGGCTAAAACATTTGATCTCTGAGTAATCTGATGGGGATAAGGAGGCTGCCTGTTAACTAACTTACATACTGAGCTCATTGCCAGTGAGTGTTAACGGGACCGTAAAGGTGCATCGGTTTCTGTGCGGACAGTGTGGAGGATGGAGCAGCTGCTTGCTCTTCAGTTTGGTTCTGATCTTCATACCAGAGCCATGTAAGACAACTGAATTTTATTTTAAGCACTCCCATAGGATGATTTTATTTCAGCCTTTGAAGCTTCAGTACTTTCAGCAAAAAGTGCTAATGTAATTATGATACGACATTCATGTTCACAAGACCCTAGAGCTGCGTATTTAACTGGATTAAAGCAAATGGAACTTGATGGTGTTTTGGCCTTTAAAATTTCTTGTTTCTTATTTGTTTAATCATGCCAAAATTGAACAAGGAAAATATTCTTCTACTGTACCTTAGCCCTAGTTGTCTTGACTCTGCAACCGCTCTGTTGATGATGACTCAAAGCCATGGTGAACTAATTAAGACAGTACTGTGTTACTAACAAAAGAGCTGCTTTCTTCCTCCCTCCTCCCCACAGCAGTTTGTCAAACAAAATTGTATCCTATACCAAAATAATAGAAATCTAATGTATCCTGGCACTCTGTCGCTAGTCAACCAACAGTATTTTGTAATGCTTTTTCAGTACGTGTATTAGAGGACTTGTGTTTTACACAGCCCATTAACACAAGGGAATCATTAATTTCTGGAGAGTGCCTTTGCCAGAAAGATGTGGGCTTTAAATCTTCTATGTACGTAGAAAAGTACTGTCCATCTCAAATGTTCTAAATGGGTATGATAGCTATTGAAAATAATAGGATAGTAATATTTTAAATAACTGCATTTTACAGCTGATACTCTTTTAGAAAGCTCACTGATATATTTGCATCTGCAAAGATATGCTTACAGTGTCTTAACATTTTTTCATGTGGATCCTGGATTATAAGGTGCTGCTGTTTCCCTTGTTTGTAGTTTTGTGTCCTTCGCATGCATGTTAAGATAATTTTGTCTTGTTTAAAGTATTTTTGTGCTAATGTAGGTGCTCTTTCCACCTTTGTGTTTTATATAAACAAAGGGCACATGTGTTACATCTGCTTTTTGAAAGTAGTCTTTAAAAACTTTTAGCAATAGTTAACTCAGCTGCTTGTTTCTGCTCTCTAAGGGGTCGCCTGGCCTGATATGCACCGTCTGGCTGACAGAGTCCATCTGGAGGAGTTGACTAAAATTGGCATTCTGAAAGGCAATGTAGATGACATGGTGAAGGTTCATCTGGGTGCAATATTTATGCCACACGGACTTGGACATCTACTTGGAATTGATGTGCATGACGTTGGAGGCTACCCAGAGGTTAGTGTTAGTCCATTCTCAACTGCCTTGCAGATTAACCCCTCTCAATTCGATCAGCATTTCTCTTAGTTTATGCATGATTAGCTGGTTGCATCTTCTCAGAGGTGGAGCAGATATGCCTTTAAGTGTGTCTTTTCTGGATGTGATATTTTATGCAGTTTACTTTAAGGGAAACTATTAATTCATTAAAACATAAATTGCTTGTGGGAAGAAGCCAGCCCATGCTGCCCTTCAGGGATTCTTAATGTGTTCAGTTTCTACATACATTGTGTTGTTCCTCCATGAGGCACAACTGTAGCGTATATTACTCAAGCATACCCTATGCTGTGGCAGAGAGCATGGCAGTCTGCCTGATACCTGTAGTGGGAAGACTCACTTGCTCCATTCCCGATGTGAGACAGCTGTGGGATCCCACTGCTGCACCTGGGCTAGTAAATCCCGATGGCTATGTCATATGGAGACAAGCTGGCTCATATTCCTGTCTTGAACTTTGATCTCCAGTGTCAACATGGACACCAGTGTAGATGAGTTGCCCTGGAATGAGAATAAAAAGAAAAAATCCATCAAGTTTTCCAGTCTTTACAAATGTGAAAGCATAACCTCTTGTATTCTGAGTTTCTGCAGAAAACACAGAATTACTACCTTTTTCCTTGAATTAACATGATGGTTCATGACTGTGGTCTGAAAGCAGAATGGGTAAAATTCTGTAACCAGTGAATGGTAAGACGTTTGCAATGATACTACAAAAAAAAATAATCTCTAAGGGGAATTGAACTTAAGGTTTGAATAAAGAAAGGAAGTTTACAGCAGCTTCAGAAAGACTTCAGAAGAATTTTTTTGTGTGTTATGTTTTGGTTATTTGAGGCTAACTGTTTAAGGGTTTTCAATAATACAATATGAAAATGGATCATTTTCCTTCTCTCTTTAAGATGTTCTTTTACAAGAACCAGATAAAGCAACTAAAAACTTTCTAGGTAAGGTTTACCTTGAAGCTTGTTCATGTTGGGTGGACAAGCTATGTAACAGCTCCTATTGCTGGATTCACTTTTGCAGACAGGGAAGAAACGGTATATAGTATTATGAGGGTGTACTCATATTCACAGTATAATTATTGTTGAGACACAGTACTGTGATGACGATGTATTGGAATCATCTAATAAACTTACATGTAACAAAAATGAAACAAAAATCAAAAGCAACTCTATTATGATTGTAAGGTCTCTTCACTAGCTAACACAGAAAGGATGGATGTTTCCTGCCAGGTACGTTCTCTCTGTGCAAAAATAGATGTATTCAGCAAAGCACAAGGGATGTAGTAACTTGGAGAGTTCATGGACTTCAAAATCCAGGACCCTGATGTTGCACGCCTTTGCTTAGATTGTTTTGGCTTGTATTGTGAATAAGCTGACTGAATTTGGTGGACTTATGTGAACCTGAGCACATGTTAAAGACTTGGTAAAGAGATAACTAAATTTTAGGAACAAGTGAGAAGAAATGTGAGAGTGAAAAGTGCCATGCTTGGTTTTTACTTGGAAACCGTATGCTTTGAAAGTTAGAGCAGGTACCTTAATTTCAAGGGAGATTTCTAGAACTGATTTTGTGGAAGTATGGAACAACAGATCTTATACAGCTTCTATCTCTCAGCAGGTTTGAGTAGTGTGGCATATGAGCTACAGAATTAGGTTTTTTAACTAACTTCTATTTATATATGACCAAATTTATAACAGTTAATTATCCGGTGTATTATATAATTTAAGGGTCATTCTTCTGAAAGCAGACCAATCTATCCATAGTTTTGAAAGAGCAAAATCTGGTTTTATCTGTTGTAGATAAAAATGGGTGTAGGGATTGTATTGTCAAATGTGTTAGGCTCTCCACTTTCATACTTAACGTGTGCAAAAATACCAGAGCTCTATGCAGATTGATAATTATATAGCTGCAAATACTAAAATTATTTGTTTGTGTTGACATGCAACTGCATTCTTACATTAAGAATGTTTGCATGGCTAATTTACTTTCAAAATCCAATGCTAAATAGCAGTTTTCCTGAATATGGGAGAAGCATGTACGTAAGCTCGCAAACAAATAGATAAAGTCTGGAATTTGCATTTGTGTATGTAGATAGAGGTGGGGCATCAGCTCAGTTTGAAAAATAATGGATTTGGGGTTCTGCAGAAGGGGCAGCCGCTTTAAACTCTCTCTGCGGCATTAATTCCTTCTCTGTTAGACCCGTTACTTCTCTCTGACCCAAAGCATGAAGTTCCTTATATTGGGTCGTTTGACTAAGGTGAGGTACCTGAGCGTCAGAGCACCTGATGGTGGAAAACCCACATCAAAAGCTTGTCGATGGCATGAACTTCATTAGGCTTCTCTGGGCTTGAAGCTCTAATGGGAGGCATGGTCCCTGCCCGCGGCAGGAGGGAGCTGTAGGGCTGCGGTGCCGGGGCAGCACTGGAAGGCTTCAGGGGACGTGGTTTTCCCCAGGTAAATCCGAACATGAGCAACTGGGCACCTCGTGTCAGTGCGATATGGGTTTGTATTAAATGGGAGAAGGCTTTTTGTCTGCATCTCATTGTTTCATGAGAAAACACATTTTGAAGACATCTAGTACACTGTGGAATGATTTTTGGTGTGTTTTAAATGTTTACCAGCTAGCAAGATTTTCACAAGGATTTTCATAAAGCCATTTGTGTGTTTATTGTACACTAAGCCCATGCCTGTAGTATCATGCTCTTTTTTTCTAGCTGGTTAAGAAGCGAGTTATTTGCTTTTGGCTGAGGGAATTTCTGGGAGTATTACAAAGGATTTTTTAAAAATAAAAACTTTCCAAATGGATATTATTCCATTATTTTTCCTCAAGTGTAAACAGTTACATTTGGAATAATACAATAAGCTTTAATTTCCTAATTTTTATCCGTCACAAAGTTTTGTGTGTTCCAAAAAAACTATTTCCAGACATTGTTAGCTTAGATTAGTTATTCATTAGTAGCCAAAGATTTCTTTTTTCAAAATTGGCAATAATAAGTTTTCATCTTTTCCAGTAAGCTGCTTTCACGGGCAGTGTTGAACAAGCACTTTCTTCCTCTGACAAACACTGTAAAAAAAAATTGCACATTTTCTGCAAAGGATACTCTGGGATATTAGAAAAATATAACATTTCCCGTCCTTTTTTTTTGCCATGATAAAGAATAATTGGTTTTGGCCAGCAATAAATGCGGCTTAGCAACTATGTTTAGGGCAAGATTTTTGAAAGACCGTAACCACCAGTATTTCCCACTGAAGCACGTAAGTAAATGTCCTGATTTTCAGAAGTACTCGGCAGTCAAGAGCTCTTGGGGGAATCGGGTCTCCTGCAGTGTACCGTGGTTTTCCTCATGGGGAAACCGAGCATCGAACACATCTTTGAAAATGTGTCTGCTTCTTTTAAGGGTCTAACTACAACTTGAGCAGTTCTGAAAATTCGGCCCCAGTGGTACTAATCACTTCAGAAAATCTGGCCCTCAGTCAGACAGAGCTAGCTTCAAAGGGTGAAAAATCCACTGGGCTTAGCTTCAGCTGTAAAATTTAATCATGGAGATGGTTTTCCCACACTCTATTCTGGGTAAATTCGATATGGGATATAAATGAGGGTTTGTGCCTGTTGCAATGGAGAAAATGTGGTAGGTGATCCCAAATTTTCAGACCCTGAGGTAGATGGGGCTGAAGTTTTCATTTAAATCTAGGTTCTGTGTCTCTAGATGCTTGAGTTGATTCAATTTCATGTTATATTAATTGACTGTAAGGCTCTAAAGAATGCTAAGTACATTTGATGACTTTCTATAATAATAAGGCAGTTAATTTAAGTTAGGTTAATAACTACTGTGATTTTAACATCTTGTGAATTGAGTTTCATTTTGTTTTGTCTTTTAAAATTATAAGATTTACCTTAGTTTAAAGTTTTAATTCAGTTCTCTATTCTCATGAAAAGCTGATCCTTTCATCGCTATTCTGCATCAGCAAATTAAGGTTAGAGGTTTGTTTTGATCCTGGAGTTATCCATGTCCTTCCATTACTGTGTATGCTTGGGGAACATCTCTGCTGCTCAGAAGGGTGTACAAGCTGTGTCTGGCTCTAACAGAAAGCTTGCTCCTGGATCCCAGATGACTGTCTGGGGATTTAGGTCACCAAACCTACTAGAGAATACAGGAATAATCTTGTTCCCTTTCTTGTTCTGGCAAAAATTATTTTCCTTATGTATCCTACTTTATGCTGAAGCAGAAGATTTCATTTTTTTTGTGGTTAGCATTGCAAATGATGCATTAATGTTTTTTCCTTTAAGAAGCAGGGGATGAGGCGAATTTACCAAGGAGCCTAAAGCTGTTATGTAGAGCCCCAGTGATGCAAATTGCTTCACTTGGTCATAACCTTGCAAAGCCTTGTTCTGGTGTGCATACCCAGGACCTGCAAACATGAAACAACCTGTATGGTAGGCGCCTATATGAGCAAGGAGTAAAAGGGCCTTTCACCAGTTTTAGCTCTAGGTTTGGTTCTTGTAAGCAATTGTACATCTTGAGCAAAGATTAGGAGAAAAAAACCGCTGCTGCTGCTTCATGGGGTCCCCTTGAATCACTTTCTTTTTGATTCTTTGAATTCCTGCATAGCAGAGCCGTATGGTTGTGTGGGCCATTGAGCAGGCAGAGTGCAGGTAAGAAACAAATCGGTGAAGACTTTCAATTCTACAGCGTTTCCATGCAGAGCAGCACTGAAACCCATGGTGCTTATAGTTATCTGTCAAGTTGAACACCAACCAGGAAAGTTTCCAACAGCATAAGATTCTCCTGTGGGATTTTAAACCCTTCCAGACTTAGGTTAATAGATCTGCTTACCCTGCTCGGCATCTTATATGTGCTCAGAAAAATTGTGATCAGTTTCCGTGTGAGGACTGATGCTGGAGTTTGAGTGTTTATGGGAGCTTGGGACTTGAGCAGAGGCAGAAGAGGAGGGAAGGCTCAGGTGCTGTG